CCACCTCATCCTCCCACAGGGCTAGGATTACATAGGTGAGCCACTGTGCCCAGCCCCATTTCTAGATAATTTCCAATGTGACGCCTTCTTTAAGTATGGTTTATACTGTGGTTTCCAGTCTTTTAATATGGGTGATGCTTTTTATCAAGGACCTTCTGCACTGGGCCAGAGAATATTTTCGGAGTGGTAAGTTTTTGCTGCAGTTTGAGATGACAGCAGTCTGGACATGTGGAACAAAATGAAGGCACTGCACTCCTGGTCTGCACGTACTCGATTGGCTTGGCAGGTGAAGGAGGAGGGTTGGTGCCTGGGGGAGACTATTTAACCACACCGAAGTCACTAAACCCAAAGTCATAAAACCAGAACACCATCAAGCACACCTGTCAGCCTTGAGAGCACCTGGCAGTGGGGGCTGGCCTAGGTCCCTGCATGCCTCCCTGGGAGCAGCTGTTATTCCTCTCTGGAGCTTTGTCAGCACAAGCTGAGCAGGGTCTGGCCTGGGACATCCCACAGAAACAGGGATGGATGAGGGCAGCACCTCCTCCCAGACAGAGCTATGTAGGAAGCAGGGCCACCAAGTGGAGAGTGGAGAAAGTTGAATCACCAAGTCCATGCACAGTCTAAGGGCGGAAGAACCAAAGCCCTAAGAATCAGAGACTCAAAGGGTCCCAGAAGGCAAACAAGGTGTGACCAGAGCAGGGCCAGAGAGGCAAGAAACCTGCAAGCCTTACACACATGCCTGGGGCAAGTAGTTGGGATCTGAGCTTCCCAGCAGCCAAGGTGAAAAGGAGCAGTGATCTTCAATGTTAAACACTCAGCACAGCACCCCATAGCAGAACACAGTGATGGGGTCATGGGGCTGACCTCGGGATCCTACTCAGGGAGGCCCTTGGACATCACACCAAGATCCACTTCACTGGGAAAACCCCACGGCGTGGTTCTGTGCTTGTCTTTGAAGGAGTTAGAGGGTACACTTTAAAGAGCTCTGACAGTGGACGCGACAGCAAGGGGACATGAAGGTCATCAGTCCTCTAAACGTGTCCCTTTAAGGTTTCCTGACTGAGATCTACAGGCAGAACAGTTTAATAAATATATATATGCACCCATAAAACATTTCGACAGAGGACAGTATACAATATAACATTAACCCATTAATAACAGATACACATATTTGTGTGTTTTATAACACATAAAACAAACTATGAAATAAAAAATAAAAATTTGGGCGGCACCTGTGGCTTAAGGAGTAGGGCACTGGTCCTATAGACCGGAGGTGGCAAGTTCAAACCTGGCCCTGGCCAAAAACTGCAAAAAAAAAAAAAATATATATATATATATATATACACACATAACATATCAAATATTTGCATATTTAAAACATACACATGTAGACACATACACACAAGAAATATATATATGTGCATATACCTTAAAACATTTAAATTAAATTTTTCATTAAAAATGCATATCCTAATTGTACATAATATACTCTGATCTTTGTTATTCCACCTTATTTTATCCTTTCATTTCTTAGAACACACAACAGTGGCTGTCACTCACCAGAAGGGTGTCCAGGCCCCACTGGGAGGCAGGACAGGCAGGATGTTGAGAACCAGGCTTAGTCTAGCTGAGCCAGGTGTGAATTTGGGCCTCTACCTGTTGCCTGGGTGGCCTTGAACTAGGGAACCAACTGTCCTGGTTTGCCCAGCACTATAGGGCTTCCCAGGCCATAGGACTTTTGGTGCTAAACTGGACAGTTGGACCCCTGTGATGAGGACATTGTCTCAGATCTTGATTCCATTTTATCATTTTAAAAACTGATCTCTTGACACCACCCGTAGCACAGTGGTTATGGCGCCAGCCACATATCCCAAGGCTGGCAGGTTCGAGCCCAGCCTGGGCCTGCTAAACAACAATGACAACTGCAACCAAAAAAATAGCCAGGCGTTGTGGTGGTCGCCTGTAGTCCCAGCTATTTGGGAGGCTGAAGCAAGAGAATCACTTAAGATCAAGAGTTTGAGGTTGTTGTGAGAGTGATGGCACAGCACTTTACCAAGGGCGACATAGCGAGATTCTGTCTCAAAAAAAAAAAAAAAAAACTGGTCTCTTACGGTACTTGTGGCCTAACATTAAAGTCAGACCAGAAAAGAATAATGCTTATAAACTAAATGCTTTGTCCTCTGAACACCCCTGGGAAAGGACCTGTGGGCAGTGCTGGGTCCGTGCTCCTGCAGGCCACTCTACCACCAGGTAGACACTGACCCCCATACCTGGAGAGGTGGTGGTGGAGCCTGGGGACGGGGAGGCCTTCACAAGCGCATGAGCTTGCCTCTCCCGGGTGACTATGGGCCAGATGAGCAAACAGCAGAGACCAAGCACCCACAGCTGGGCCCCCGGCTCTCAGACATAGACCTAGGGCTCCAGGATGTTTTGAAGACTATCCTCAAATTGTGGTAATTCTAGAACACTGCACAAAAAAGAACGATAAGGCCCTGCCTGCAGAGGGGTTGGAGTGATTAGTAATGATCAGTAAAGGATTCTGGAGCTTCCATCTTGCTGACCACAGGCTGACTATCTGCCCCTTTCCAGTCACCTCCAGGGACTGTGGTGTGGGGGAGGGGTCATTCACAAAGAAGAGAGATGAGGCTGGGACCAGAGCACAGGATGCTCCAGTAAGCCCTGGCTGGAGGGTGCACTGACATCCCCCACCCAGCTAGTGAAGCATGAGCAGCCCTAGGGAAGGCCAGTTCCTTCTCATGGGCACTGGAGCTATGCCCTGAGCATAGTCGCTGCTGGGACAGCTGGTGGTCAGCCCCAGGCTCAAAGCTTACCACAGGGTCAGTACTGTCCTCCTCCCAGGCCACTCTGCTTTCCACTTTTGTTTTGTTTGTTTTGTTTTGTTTGAGTTACCAATCTCGTCCTAAGTCCACAGGAGAGCATTACATCATGAGTGGAAAATGCATAACACAGTGAGTGCATTAGTGCCCATGCGGCTCCCCTCTGTGCCCACACCCACCACAGTGCCCAGCCCCACCCAGAGGCTGGACCCACTGCAGGATAAAGGGACCAGGAGAGGTTACACCTGGACAGGTAGGGGTCAGGGGGCACCGACAGTCTGAGGGCATCCCTAGGGCACACACCAGGAAATACAGGGAGCAGGGACAGTCCTGTCGGTTGGGGGGCACTGGGTGGACTGGAGGGGAAATGACCCCACCTGGCCACACACTCGCGGGCCAGCCAGCACCTCTCTCCCAGCAGCCCTTACCAGGTCCTTGCAGAGCTCTTGAGGGGACATGGGTAGGGGACAGCCTTCCCAACTGCCCATGTCATCGTTACCCCTCTGTTGTCTTTCTACCCACTCACTCCCACAAGGCGCCCCCCACCCCAGGGCTGCAAACCCTGCCTGTTCTGACCCTGCCTGATTGTCACAAACACTCACAGGATGTGATTAAGGCAGGGAGGAAAAAAGGAAGAATGCCCAGAGTGAGAGGAGCTGTGTGACCAGCTGGCCCCCAGGGGAGGGCACCTGGGGGTTAGGAGACCCTTGAGGGAAAGCCAGGGGAGACAGGGGCTCTAGAAGGGGCTCAGAGGAGGAAAATGGCTTGGGGGTCCCCCACACCAAACTCAGCCTGGGTCCCCTGGTGAGGATGTGGCAGGACTGATGGTGCCCCCAGTTGGCAGAGGACCATCCCCCCTGTTGTGTTGTCACCAGCTGGGACCTCCACACTGTCTGGGCCCTGTCAAGAACATAAGGCAAAAGGAAAGAGTCTGTAGGGACTGCAGGTGAGCCAGACAGGGCGTCTGCACTGGCCAGGGGGCTCTCACGCTCTGCAGCCAAGGCCTGCACAGAGCAGGGGCAGAGGTGAGGGGTGGATGGGTGCAGCGAGAGAAACTTGAGCCTCACCACAGTGACCAGGACACCAAGGACAGCTGAGAGGTCCCAGAGACTCGCCTGTGGGGAGGAGCAGGGGTAAGGCAGCCTGTGGGGATGGACAGTGGTCTGAGGTGTTAGGTTTAGCTGGGATGGCCCCTTGCAGGGCCCCCAGGGACTTAGGGAGCAGGATCCGGTTCAAGCTGCCCTCCCCTCTTCCAGCCCCAGGCAGCCCCTCCCACAGTGAAACCACTCTGCTGCTGACAGAAGACAACAGGTGGAGCCCGTGGTCTGATGTTAACCAGGTTCTTTCCCCAGACTCTAGCCTGGGCCTGGGCTGGATGTCCCCTCCCCAGAACTACTCTTCATTTTATAAAGAAAATCAGCTGAAGTCTCAGGCACGCCCCCGCCTCCCTCCCCGCCCCCCACCCCCCACACACAACCCCTTTTGCAAAGAATAGGCAGAGGCTTCAGGCCGGGACAGTCACTGTGAAGTTCCCTGCTGACCCCATAAAAGTGCGCACAGGAGGCAGAGAAAGACCTTCTCGCCCCCGCCAAGGAGAGGAGCTGAGCCCTTCACCCCCTAATTTCATGTGAAATGTAGATTTCTTGGGGCTCTGAAGAACGGACCCACCACCTGCCCTGCCCTCCTGCCCTTCTTTCTCCTCCTCTCTGCCGCCTTTAAACACCGAAGGCTCCGATCTTCCCGTCTGTCCCTGGCGCGCGCTCAGCACCCTAGCTCAAGGAACCTCCCTTGACTGACATTTTGTCTCATTTACTCTGCGGACAGCTCCGTCTCTGTCCAAATCTCGCCCGCACTGCAGGTCCTGGTTCTTCCTGCCCCTCCGCCCCCAGGCCCCGTTCTGGCTCCCGCCCTTCCAGGAGCTCGGGTATTTCCGAGCTCCAGACTTCGCTGGCCCCTGAGTCGCGGCGCAAAGCCGGGCGGCCCGGGCAGGGACTGCGGCCTGGGGGCCCAGGAAGCCCCTCGCGGAGCTGGGGCGGCCAGGTCCTGCCCGGCCTGGCTCCTCCTTCAGCGGCGCAGCTCTGTGGCCAGGTGGAGGGACGCGGGCCGGGGCTGCGGGGACCGGTGGGGACAGGGATGGGAGGGAGGCGGCGGCTCTGAGGGTTGAGAGTGAGGACCTAGAAGGGGCGGTATGCTCAGGGCGCGGGGAGGAGCGCGGGCGTTGGGACGCTGAGAAGCCGAAGCCGCCGCCCCACTCGGCCGAACCCTTCAGCGTCATGCTGGGGTTCCTCCTAGTCCTGTGGGCTTTCCTGGGGCCTGCGGAGTTTGCCAGTGGCCCGATGGCGTCAGGTAAGCGGCAGGCGGGCTGGGGGCCGCGGGCTGCACGCGCTCGCGGTGGCCCCTACCTGGGGTCGGGTGTCCGGCTCTGCGGCGCCTGGCTCCAGCTGCCCGGTTGCCACCCACAGCTCTCAACCTGAGCTGCTACCACTGTTTCAAAGCCGACAGCTCGAACAAGTGCCGGCCAGCGCTGTGCCGCCCCACAGACAAGGTCTGCCTCTCTCACGAGATGTTCTTTTTCTTCAGTGAGTACCGGTCGGGCGGCGCGGCCTGGGGGAGGGACCGGGTGCCGGCCTGTCTGGGCCGTGGCGCGGCGACCTGCTGGTTGCACGGCCTGGGGGCCTAGGGGCCTGGGGGCCGCGGCCGACACAGCTCCCGCTGAAGCAGCCAGAGTCGGAATTGTAGCTTTTCTTGTTCTCCTCCGCTTGGAGTGTCACTTTCCCTTGGAACCGACCTGCTGACCGCTCAGAGGAGGGTTGGTGGGAGGGTTGGTCGTGGAGTTGGGGGGTTCTCAGAGCTGCCGGCCACTCTCCAAGGCCACACACTCGATGGCCACACCATGGTGCTCAGGAAGTAATGGAGTCAGGTGCGGAGGCGAGAGGTCTCTGGAGCCTGGAGTTGGAGGACGCCATGAGCTATCTATGGTCTGGCCACTGCACGCCGGCCTGGGCGATGGGGTGACATCCCCATCTAAAAACAATTTTTAAAAACTTTAAAGCAAGCACTAGAGAAGATTATAAAGTAAAACGCTAACGTGGTCCTTAGACCCAGTGAAATGTCATTAATAGAAATACTCCTTCAAAAAGTGCAGAAACGTCCAGAGGGAGCCCCAGGTACACAGACCAATCTGCTCGGAGAAAATGTGGCTCCAGCTCTCTTGGGGGCCTGCCCAGGTGGCAGCCCTGTCTCCTGATAATTCTGAGTGGGTCCATAAAGAAACTCACAGCCTCTTGTGGCCAAGAGGAATGCTAACTTCCAAGGAATGCTGCTGGAAAAGGCACGTTGCAGGATGGTGCCTGTGACTCAAAGGAGTAGGGCACCAGCCCCATATGCCAGAGGTGGCAGGTTCAAACCCAGCCCTGGCCAAAACTGCCAAAAAAAAAAAAAAAAAGAAAGAAAGCCCAAGAGTTTGAGGTTGCTGTGAGCTATGATGACAATGATGCCACTGCACTCTACCCAGGGAAACTCTGTCTCCTCAAAAAAAAAAAAGATTGGGTGGGGCCTGTGGCACAAAGGAGTAGGGCGCTGGCCCCATATGCCAGAAGTGGCAGGTTCAAACCCAACCCCAGCCAA